GGCTCATTCGTCGTTTTTGATGACGTGGAATTCAGCACATGGCTCCGTCGTAGTCTCACATGGCTCCGTAGTAGTGTCCGAAGACGTGGAATTCAGACATGGCTCCGTCGTGGTCTCACAGGGTTCTGTGGTAGTTTCAGAAGACGTGGAATTCAGACATGGCTCCGTCGTGGTCTCACATGGCTCATTCGTTGTTTTTGAAGACGTGGAATTCAGACATGGCTCCGTCGTAGTCTCACAGGGTTCTGTGGTAGTTTCCGAAGACGTGGAATTCAGACATGGCTCCGTCGTGGTCTCACATGGCTCCGTAGTAGTGTCCGAAGACGTGGAATTCAGACATGGCTCTGTCGTTGTCTCACATGGCTCATTCGTCGTTTTTGATGACGTGGAATTCAGACATGGCTCCGTCGTAGTCTCACATGGCTCCGTAGTAGTGTCCGAAGACGTGGAATTCAGACATGGCTCTGTCGTGGTCTCACAGGGTTCTGTGGTAGCTTCAGGAGACGTGGAATTCAGACATGGCTCCGTCGTGGTCTCACAGGGTTCTGTGGTAGTTTCGGAAGACGTGGAATTCAGACATGGCTCCGTCGTGGGTCTCACATGGCTCATTCGTCGTTTTTGATGACGTGGAATTCAGACATGGCTCCGTCGTAGTCTCACATGGCTCCGTAGTAGTGTCCGAAGACGTGGAATTCAGACATGGCTCCGTCGTGGTCTCACAGGGTTCTGTGGTAGTTTCAGAAGACGTGGAATTCAGACATGGCTCCGTCGTGGTCTCACATGGCTCCGTAGTAGTGTCCGAAGACGTGGAATTCAGACATGGCTCTGTCGTTGTCTCACAGGGTTCTGTGGTAGCTTCAGGAGACGTGGAATTCAGACATGGCTCCGTCGTGGTCTCACAGGGTTCTGTGGTAGTTTCGGAAGACGTGGAATTCAGACATGGCTCCGTGGTAGTCTTACATGGCTCCGTCGTGGTCTCACATGGCTCCGTAGTAGTGTCCGAAGACGTGGAATTCAGACATGGCTCCGTCGTGGTCTCACAGGGTTCTGTGGTAGTTTCAGAAGACGTGGAAAGCAGACATGGCTCCGTCGTGGTCTCACATGACTCCGTAGTAGCTTCAGGAGACGTGGAATTCAGACATGGCTCCGTCGTGGTCTCACAGGGTTCTGTGGTAGTTTCGGAAGACGTGGAATTCAGACATGGTTCCGTAGTAGTCTTACATGGCTCCGTCGTGGTCTCACATGGCTCAGTCGTCGTTTCCGAAGACGTGGAATTCAGACATGGCTCCGTCGTGGTCTCACATGGTTCTGTGGTCGTTGGAGGAGACTCAGAAGATGTATCTAAAAACGAGTAACTTTGATTGGTATGCTTCGAGTAGGCGGCTCACCTGGAATGTCAGATATAATAGCTGTTCGTTCGATTGAAGGACGATTGACTTGAGGGATTCTTTTGGGACCTCAAAAATAAGCTCATTTCGAAAATTCTCGCAGTTTTTTGAAACATACCATTTGGGACTTTTTGAAAAATATGTCCATCTGATGATCCCAATAGTATGGCGGGTATTATTACAAACCCAATTAATTTGATAAATGACATTTGTCTAAAAAATGAATCGTTTTTCGATGATTGAACTTTTTCACCGTTCACTTTCCAACACTCTCTTTTTCCTCCCTCTCAAAAATCAATCGCATCTCATTAGCCCTTCGCTCGCCCCATTCATAAACCAGAGTGCCTTTTTCTAATTCGTTTTCAAATGTTTTTCAGCCACTCTTTCTTTTGGTTTTTCTGTTTTTCTTTGTTCATTAAATTGAGTGTACAACCCACCCATTTTCAGTGGTGAGCTCAGTGAGGTCCCATCCATGTCTGCGTCTGGTTATCTCTCATCTCTCGGAAGCTCTTCTTTTCATTTTTTTTTTTGAAAGAAGGGGGGGGAGGGGCGGGCACCAGGAGAAGAAGAAGCACGCATATTGTTCTATTTTTTTTGAAGAGAAAGAAGAGAGGGACACATTCTCATCTTCAGAAGGTAGGCAATGTCCTCGGAATCGGTTTTTTTTTATTTCGCTCTTGGGGATTTGTTTTTAAACGAGTTCTCACAGAATTTTAGAATTTCAGTTCCAATATGTTCTATGATAGTTTGGAAAATGCTTAGACTCTTTTTCATTTTTGATACTTTTTTAAACTTTTTAATGGACTATTTGGATCTACCCCTGCAAACACTGGTGCCCTTGTCTAGCCTTCACGAGCCCTGCCATATTTTCTTTTAGAGTCACAATTTTCGAGCCAATTAAATCAGGTATGATAGATCTTGACGAGCACTACGAAATTATGCTTTTTAAAATACTGTACCTTGTCTATGACCGAAGTTACAAGCCAACAACCTATGAACTTCGCGTTCGCACCTTTATGGCATTGTAACTTTGTTCACAGACAAGATACAGTATCCCATTTAGTATAATTTTTAAGTACTTGTCAAGTTCTATCATAACTGATTTTTTTTCTGATTCAGTTGGCTCAAAAATTGTGACTTTAAAAGAAAATATGGCAGTTCTTGCGAAGGCCCGCCAAAGGATCGCCAAAGGTCCGCCAAATGCCCTTTTTACATGTATGTGCCCCCAGTAAATCAGAAGAAAATGAAATCTGCGTCTGACGGGTCCCCTCGAAAGAAGTCCAAATTTTCATAATCGTTTCGCTTCAAACTCAATTTGCTTCTCCTCATCCCTCCTCCTTTTCTTCTTTTTTCCCATCCAGTTCTCCTTTTCGTTTTTGTGTCCTCCTTCCCTTCCTGCCGACCCCCCCCCCTCATCCCTTTATTTTTCAACTCAAATGATTCTTGCTCCAGATAAAAGTTACATTTTAGATTTTTGAATGATGTGATTGTCATCAACGTCTTCTTCTTCTTCTTTGGCACAAACTCCAAGATGAACTTCAGTTTTGTCTACGGCTACATTTTTCTGTCGTTTTTCTTCTTATCGTGCAATGCCTACAAAATAGGTTAGTTGTTTTTGAAGAAGATGGAATAACAGAGGATATGTCCTAAAAATTTTCAGGAGCAATATTCCGAGAACGAGAAGATGCACACCTGGAAGCAGCACTCCGCTACACAGTTGAATGGCTATCACAGCGTGGGATCTATGGAGACATAGATCTTGTTATAGAGTATATTGATGTTTTGGATCACTATGACGCTATCAAAAAAGGTAAAATTGTTCAATATTGCCCATCTTTTATGCGGCTTACATTTGGTCGGGAAAAACCGACCGACCGACCTCCGACAGATAGCCGACCGAATTCGCACACTTGAGCGTCAACGTGCGAGTGTTTGCGTACACAGCCTTTTATTTTAAGACGCAAGACGCATTTTTCGAATAGTATGATGTAAAATAATAGTTAGGTCCGCAAACACTCTCATTGAATTTTTGTATATGCGCGTCGGTATGCCAGAAAGTGTTTGCGTACGTAAATTTTCACTTGGCTGTCGGTAGGCTAGGTCGGCGGTCGGTCGGCTGTCTCCGATTTTCGACCGACCGAAAATGGAAGCCTTCATTTCTTATCTAATTTTCAGCCTGTAAAATGCTGGAGAAAGATCATATAGTGGCACTACTCGGCGGGTCTCACGGCGCTCTAAATGCTCAACTGGAGAGGATTACTGATGATGTAAGGGTTTTAAGAGATAAAGCATACAATTCAAAAGATTCCAGTTGGACATCCCATTCCTCACTGCAATAGATGATTTGCGAACGGACATGGGAAAGTCAAAAATCGATTTCTGGCCACGTCCTCAACTTTTCGAAGCAGTGGTAGATATGTTTACTCATTGGAAGTGGAATCGTGTAGTGCTCGTTTATGAGGATGATGAAAGAATTCGAAGATTGGAGCAACTTTTAGAAAGTGAGGAATATGCATCTATCCGTTTTTATCTCATAAAAGTGCATAATGGAGACTACATGAGAGCCGCGCGCCAAGTGAAAGAACTCGAAGAATGTCGCCTGCTTCATAGAAAAGATTGCTCAGAGTTCAGCCGCCTTCTAGTAGACATGAATCCAGAACACACTTACAACTTTCTCCTAGCCTCTCTTCAAATGGGACTCATCGAGCTGAAGCACTGGTTTTTGCTCACCAACATGGAGTTGTCCACCATGGACATGGAGCTTTTCCGTTATAATCACGCCCGTTTCATATCTCCATACCCTGTTGACTCGACTTTTTTGACTGAGAATCGCGACGCGTTCAACTTCTCGCACTTCAAAGAGCACGTCTCCGAGAAGTGGGCAATGAAAACCGACAACAGCCGGAATTTGAAGATGATGGAAGCCGTCTTCACTTTTGACGCCGTCTACGCATTCGCCAATGTGTTCAACGAGCTGTCAAGTCATATGCAAATGAATGATGTGCCGCAGACGTTGTGTCGGAAGTCGACGAGGAATTCAAGGAAGTATCAACATGGAAGATCGTTGATTGACAATATTGTACATAATGATCTACACGGACTATCTGGAGATTTGAGAAGATTGAATGGGCACCCTTTGAAGAGCAATTTCTCGATGAGGATTCACTTATTGGGTTATAGTGGGAGATTGGATGATGTGAGTATTTTTTTTTCTAATTTCGATATTGTGAAACTTGTAATATCAAAAATGTGTCAACAGAAAAATATTATGATAAACATTTTATTAAAGGAACCAAAATAAATTAGCTCATCGTGAAAAGTTAGAGAGCCCTTCTATTGCAGGTATCACAAAGAACGAATCCCTCGTTCTCGAACATTCGATCCATTCTGTGAACTGACTGCTGAAACTCTTATTGAAACCAGTTTTCGAATCTCTTTAGAAGTGAAGAAGAAAAATGACGGCGTGGCAGCGCCAGAAATAATTTCCATCTGAAATTAGGAAAATCCGTTTTGCAGATTTTCTGAAAGCTTACAGTATTCACAAATCGTTTCACTAGAAATGCTCCTGTATTTGTGATTTGAATACTTTGAAAGGATAAAAATATCAACGAGGGAGTCTGTAACAATAATATATACTGTCAAACCTCTAATAGAAGAGCCCCAAAAACTTTTAACTTTGAGCCAATTAATCTAGGTTACTCTTGAAGATACAAAAAAGTGTCCAATTGATGAATTGTTCATCAAAATACCAATAAAATTTCATCAGTTGACACATTTTTGATATTTTGCATAGGAATCAGGACTAATTAGTTTTAACTTCACAGTGTGGGGGCCCTTCTATTACAGGCTTTACGGTATAAAATCGTAATTCCAACCTGAAACGCCACGAAAACAAAGAGCGCTTGCTTCAAAATTGAGCGTTCACTATCACTGAGAGTGAATCTCCTCATATAAAGAATTTTGACAATAATAGCGAAATAAATGCAAAAAATAAAAATCGGAAGAATTATTTGTAGCATAGTGTCTATCTGAAATCACAGATCCGTTATTTGTAATTCAAAATTATTCTTACAATTCGGATCGTATCGGATCGTATAGTTACAATTCGGATCGTATAGTAGGTATCGCTTTATTGATAGTAGTGGTTGCTGAAGAAGCGGTTTGAGCTCAATTATCTCATTTCCCAAGCAAGATATCAAAAAAATTTTAACTGATACAATGTTGGTAATACTATGATAAGCATTTTATCAGTTGACCACTTTTTTATATCTTTCACAGGAACTGAGATAAAATGGCTCAAAGTTACCTGAGGTTCCAAAGTTAACCGGTAGCAGTTTAAGTGTGGCTGGAACATTTATCAGCAAATTTGAAGCAGATAAAACAAAGACCGTTATGTTTAGTTGTGTTAAAAACCAGAAAAATCGAATCTGAGATATTTTTTCACATAATTGAAATTTCTGGTTTTCTTACCGGCTTAAAATGGCTCCATAAAACAATAGACAGCACCAGATACCCGGCGCTAAAAAATGTTGCTACTACTGTAGCAAATACCGATAAAGAAATTACGGTATAATAGAATCCAGTTTTTTCGGAATCTGGAATGTCTTGAAATCTCTGAAAAATTAGTTGTTTTTGCTTTTGTTATGTAATACTTTTAGATTTGTAGACTTACTTCAAGCATTGGGATTCCGAAAATAAATTCAGACATTTTTCTATAGCTGAAGAGGCAATTAAGCAGGCTTCTAGAACTATGCAATATTGAAAAACTGACAGCGAGTGAAAGATCAGGCAGCTGAAAGTTTTCGGGGGAGGGACATATAGGGGTTTTTAGTAATTTGATTAATTTGATAGCTCAAAGGAACAATTCTAGATGTAACTGCAGTCAAACCAAAGTTGGATGCCGTAAAACCTGTAATACATAGAAGGGCCTCCTAGCTTTCAACTTTGAGTCAATATATATCATTTCCTATGAAAGATATCAAAAAGTTGTTAACTGATAAATTGTTTATCATAACATCAAAAATATTTTATTAGTTAACAAAATTTTGATATCTCTTATAGGAGCCGAGATAATTGAGCGCAAACTTGACAGTGTGTGGTCTTTTCTATTACGGGTTTATGGCATTTTCAGGATGTGCCACTTTTCCCTCCCATTAGGATTAATTTAAATTGCAACGATGCAGTTTTCAGACATTGTAAGACATTTTATTACGAAAAAAACCAATCAATTCAAAGTCCTCAATCCCCGTACTTGAACATTCGATCCACTTTGTGAACTCGCAGCTGAAACTTTTGTTGACACCAGTTTACGAATTTCTTTGGAAGTGAAAAAGAAGAATGACGGCGTTGCAGCCCCAGCGAAAATTTCCATCTGAAATTAGAAATTCAAAAGGTGACATAACTATTTTAGAAGGTACTGTATTCACGAATCTCTTCCCCAGAAATGCAGTAACATTGCTGATTTTGATAAACTGAACAGATAGGAAGACAAGCGATGATGCCTAGAAAATAGGATTTCAAACATTTTAATAAAAAAGTTAAGATACCTGAAACGCCACGAACACAAAAATGGCTTGTTTCAAAATCATCACTTCACTGTCGTTGAGAGAGGTCTTTTTCAAATATAGAATTTTGACAATGATTGCAAGATAGATTACAAATATCAAAATTGGAATCAATATCTGTACGATGTGGTCCACCTTAAAATTAGATATTCAGTATACGCTTTTTTGAGTTTTTGATACAATTAAAATTGCAGTTGGTGTAGCTGAGTTCACGATAAGGGAGCTCTGAGCACTAGATTGGCATTTTAGCTTGAAAACTTCTGTATCACCGTCAAATTTGTATTTGCAATTCGAAGACATTAGAATGAACTCAACTGCTAATGAGAGGAGCCAATTGAGTGATAACCAGGCAAACGTCATAGGTCTGGAAGACTATGCATTTTCTATTCTAATTTTTGTAAGGCTTACGTATCGAAGGTTTTATCAGTTAAATGTCGCAAAAAGAATACAAATCCTCTTTGGATAGCGATGATTAAATTTGAGAAGATAATCGAGTAATGACAAAAATCGATGAGATAGGTGACGAAATTAAAAATAGCTGAACTCGAAACATCCTTGGAAAGTAAGGATAGAGTCGCTGGAACATTTATGAGCAAATTTGAAGAAGATAAAACGAAAACGGATATTGTTAGCTGGGTTAGAAACCAGAAGAATTTTATCTGGAATTTTTAAAAGTCTGCAAATGCGACCAATTAGCACTCACCGGTTTGAAACGTCCCCAAAGTATAATTGATAGGACTAGAAATGCTGCGCTGAGCAGTGTGGACGCCAATGTTGAACTCACAAAAAGTGTAACGACAGCGTAATAAACCCCGTCTTTGGCAGATTCTGGGATTTCCCCGAAATCCTAAAATTTGATGAAAAATTGATAAAACCATACTCGTAAAGTGGGCCTTTGTGGGCTTTGCCATAGATTTTTTCAGAACAAATATTCTTGGGCCAGGTAAATTTGATATGACAGAACTTGTTGAGTACTACAAATTGACACTATTGGAAAATCTGTATCTTGTCTATGAACAAATTTACAAGGCCAGATAGATGTGAGTGCGCAGCTCCAACGGTTTTCTCCTTGTAACTTTGTTCATAGACAAGATAACGTTTTCTAAAAAAGTGCATTTTGTAGTACTCATTGAATTCTGTCATGTTATTTATAATAATTTGTCCAAAAACATTGATTCTAAAAGAAACTATGGCAGGGCTCGCGAAGGCCCAGTTCACAATTATGGATAAAACTCTACCGTCCAATAAGCTCACCTCACTCAGTGGAATAGTAAGTGAATAAACCATTGTCAATAACTAGTAAACTGAAGAGAAAATGAATTTTTAGATTTCTGGAAGCCTGTGAGACTAAATGAATCACTGACAGACTAAATAGGAAGCTTGACGTTAGTTGTGCAAATGACCTAAGCTGGCAAGACTCGTTTGGACAAGATTTTGTAAAAAGAATAGCAAAACTGATCCTCATCTTTTTGCGGCAAGCTTGAGGCACAAGTTGGACATGCTTCGGGTAGACTTGGGCAAATTACCCAGGTTTTGAGCATGTTGCCCACCGTCTGGGCGCCTTTTCCTCTACGGTAGAAGCAAGGCAGCCAACTATCACAGGAAATCGCTCAAAATGCCCCATGTAGTCTCCGAAATCTCACCTCACTCAATGGTACACTAAATGAATAATCCGACATTGACTAGTAAACAGAAGAGAAAGTTAATATCAAGTTCTCAAAGAGCAATCAGACTAAATGGCTCACTGCCTGACTGAGCCTGAAATTTTACACGCGCCAAAGAGAAAAAAACTTATTAGAAAGCAGCTGAAAAAAACCTAAATATTTAATCACGAGAGAGAACATGTTTTGTGTTTTCTCGATTTTAGGAACATTGTGAAATTGAGCATTTAGTTCCAGAAATATTTATTGTTTAAAAAAAATAAAAATATTTATTGAATGAAGATCCAGGTGTCTTCTAACTGATGTATCGCATTCCTCGAATTTGATTATTCGGACCTCCTTGAGAACTGGACGCACTTACTCTCGAAGATAACAATCTTCTAATTTCTTTAGAGGTGAAGAAGAAAAATGAGGGGATGGCTGCTCCGGCAATTATCTCCATCTGAAAATCCATTTACTAGCTGTTATAGTTTCCTGTCTTACTGTATTAACAAATCTCTTAATGAGAAATGCATTGGCATTTGAGGTTTTGACCGATTGAGCAATAAGAAAAACCACTGATGACGCCTGAAACTTCAACGGGGTTTACATGTGTTTTATTAATAAGTACACCTGAAATGCTACAAAAACGAAACTGGCTTGTTTCAAAATCAAAAATTCGTTTTTGCTCAACGCAGACTGCTTCAGAAGAAAAATTCTGAGAGTTATCATAATATAAATCACAAAAATAACGAATGGAATAACAATTTGTAGCAAAGTGTCTACCTGAAATTTCATGTTTGATCCCTAATTTATTAGAAAAATCTTACAATTCGTATTCCAACTGGTGTGACTGACATAAGGAAAAATGAAGAACTCGAACATCTCAAAAGGATATGTCGAGAGTGTTCTTCGAATTGATATCTGCAGTTAGAAGTCACAAGAACATATTCTATAACCAGTGAGAACATCCAAACTAATGCTAACCAAATGTATATAATTGGTCTAAAAAGTTTAGAGCAATTATGGCAAGATAGATCACAAAAACCTGTAATTGAAGGGTCCCCTAACTTTGAGCTAATTTATCTCGGTTCCTGTGAAAGATCACAAAAAGTGGTCAACTGATAAATTGTTTATCAAAATAAAACTAACATTTTATCAGTTAACAAATTATTGATATCTTGCATATGAGCCAAGAAAATCAGCTCAAACTTGTGAGGGCGTTTCTATTACTTTTTGACTCACTGATCGAAAAGTTTTTCCGAGTAATAATCCGAAAAGAATACGAAACCTCGCTGTATTGCAATTATTAAGTTAGAGAAGAGAATCGAGTAGTGACAAAAGTCAATAAGAAAAGAGACAGTTATAAACATTGCTGAGCTTCTAGCTTCTTTAGATAGTAAGGATAGGGTCGCTGGGACATGGATGAGCAGATTCCCAGCAGATAAAAAAAAGATCGATATAGTGAGCTGTGTTAGAAACCAGAAGAAACGCATCTGGAAATCCTTTTTTATTCTAGAGCGATTTCTTAGATTACCGTTTTGAAGTGACCCCATAGCAATACGGATATTACCAAGAACGCAGCACTGAACAGAGTGGATAACACGTAGAAATCACAAAAGTCGTTGTGACAAAGTAATAGAGCCCATTTTTTTCCGAATCCGGGATATCATTAAATTCCTGGAAATGAATGCCAGTTACCGTAATCCAATATCCATACCCTACCTCATCAATTTTTATAATTAATGTACCAGTGAGTGTACACATAATTAAAATCTGAAAGATAGAACTCAATTGGTTCAGTTGTCAATTAAAGGTGGGGGGACATGAAAAAAATAATGTTCTCGAAATTCCGTTCAAAGATGCCTCTCGAGGAGTTGAACTTGTGAGGGCGATGATTGAGGGTGCGGCGCCGCTACCGACTGAGCCACGCGGGCAAAGAGAAAGCGCACGCCCGATTGCATACATAAATTGCATACATAAAGGCGAGGACGACAGCTGTACGCAGAGTGACATTAAGCGTTGTACACCGTGACGGTAGAATGCATACTCTAGCTACAAAAAAACTACGAAAAATCTCCTGTCCCCCCCCCCCTTTAAAGGTGGGGGGACATGAAAAAAATAATGTTCTCGAAATTTCGTTCAAAGATGTCCCTCGAGGAGTTGAACGTGTGGGACGAGGATTGAGGGTGCGGCGCCTCTACCGACTGACTAGGGAATGACTCACAGAAGATGTGGAGTTATGGGACGAGACCTATATCATTCGAAAGAGGATGAAATTTCATTTTCAAATATATGCTCAGTTTTTGCGGCGGCCTCCGCTAACTCGAGAAATTTGGGTCAGAAGTTTTCAGTAGATTTTGCACTGAAATGCATACGTGAACGCTTCCACGTCC